GTTCGCTATTGTGGGGACCTGACAGGAGAATCCCATAAGGAAAATGATCTTCCAGGTGCCCTTTTGCACGTGCTACTGTGGATGAACGAACTCCATTTCGCACCACCTAAGAAAACCCTGGTGTCCGATGATTCCCCTGTAAATAGATGGTTTCTTAGGTGCCGAATGTCGTCCCTTCACAGAATCGCCCTTGCTTGCCTGTGAGTTTCATCACTTGGGCCAGCCATTTGGGTGGTTGAACGCGGCTTGTGGGAGGCAGGGTCAAGCCACGTATCTGAGAAATCCTTTCAAGTTGAGCGCCCGCGCGTTGGAGACTTTTCGCCATGGCCCAGTGTGGTGGAGCTTCTGCAGGCTGAGCTGACTCGCTGTGCATGCATGTGTATGTATCTATGTATCTGTGCATGTAGTGCAATGTAATGCCATGCAGTTCAATGTAGTGTAAGGCAATGTAGTGTGAAGTACTGCAATGTAATGTAATGTAATGTGTAATGCAATGCAATGCAATGCAATGTAATGTAATGTGGTGTAATGCAATGCAATGTAATGTAATGAAGTGTAGTGTAATGTATTGCAGTGTAGCGTAATGTACTGTTATGCAATGCAATGTAATGTGATGTAGTGTAATGTAATGTAATGTAATGCCATGTAACGTAGTGGAATGCAATTTCATGTAGTGTAATGTAATGTAGTGTAGTGTAATGCGCTGTAATGTAATGTAATGCAATTGAGTGTAATGTAACATGGTGCAACGTAATAGAATGCAATGTAATTTTATGTAATGTATCATATCTGCAATGTATTGTAGTGTAGCGTAATGCAACGTACTGCAATGTAATGTAATGTAAATGTAATGTACTGTAGTGTAATGCCATGTAATGTAGTGTAATGTAATGCAATGTAATGTAATGTAATGTAATGTAATGTAGTGTAATGTGTAATGCAATGCAATGTCATGTCATGTAGTGTAATGTGGTGGAATGTAATGCAATGCAATGTAATCGAGTGTAGTGTAATGTATTGCAGTGTAGTGTAGTGTACTGTAATGCAATGTAATGTGATGGAGTGTAATGCAATGTAATGTAATGCCATATAACGTAGTGTAATGCAATTTCATGTAGTGTAATGTAATGTTGTGTAGTGTAATGCGCTGCAATGCAATGTAATGCAATTGAGTGTAATGTAATGCGGTGCAATGTAATATGATGTAGTGTAGTTTTACGTAATGTATCATATTTGCAATGTAATGTAGTGTAGTGTAGTGCAACGTAGTGCAATGTAATGTAATGTAAATGTAATGTACTGTACTGCAATGTAGTGCAATGTAATGCAATGTAACGTAATGTAATGTAATGTAATGTAGTGCAATGCCATGCAATGCAATGTAATGTAATGTAATGTAATGCAATGAATTGTAATGTCATGTATGTCATGTATGTATGTATGTATGTATGTATGTATGTATGTATGTATGTATGTATGTATGTATGTATGTATGTATGTATGTATGTATGTATGTATGTATGTATGTATGTATGTATGTATGTATGTATGTATGTATGTATGTATGTATGTATGTATGTATGTATGTATGTATGTATGTATGTATGTATGTATGTATGTATGTATGTATGTATGTATGTATGTATGTATGTATGTATGTATGTATGTATGTATGTATGTATGTATGTATGTATGTATGTATGTATGTATGTATGTATGTATGTATGTATGTATGTATGTATGTATGTATGTATGTATGTATGTATGTATGTATGTATGTATGTATGTATGTATGTATGTATGTATGTATGTATGTATGTATGTATGTATGTATGTATGTATGTATGTATGTATGTATGTATGTATGTATGTATGTATGTATGTATGTATGTATGTATGTATGTATGTATGTATGTATGTATGTATGTATGTATGTATGTATGTATGTATGTATGTATGTATGTATGTATGTATGTATGTATGTATGTATGTATGTATGTATGTATGTATGTATGTGTATGTATGTATGTATGTATGTATGTATGTATGTATGTATGTATGTATGTATGTATGTATGTATGTATGTATGTATGTATGTATGTATGTATGTAATGTATGTAATGTAATGTAATGTATGTATGTATGTATGTATGTATATGTATGTATGTATGTATGTATGTATGTATGTATGTATGTATGTATGTATGTATGTATGTATGTATGTATGTATGTATGTATGTATGTATGTATGTATGTATGTATGTATGTATGTATGTATGTATGTATGTATGTATGTATGTATGTATGTATGTATGTTATGTAATGTATGTAATGTGTGTATGTATGTATGCGTGCATGTATGTATGTATGTGTGTATGTATGTATGCAATGTAGTGTAATGTAATGTAGTGTTGGTCAGTGTAGTGTAACGTCATGTAATGTAGTGCAATGCAGTGCAGTGCAGTGCAATGTACTGTATGTATGTACGTAACGATGAATGCGTGTCGTGTAATTAATGTAGCATATTGGAATGTAATGCAATGTAATGTGATGTAATTCAATGTAATGTATGTATGTATGCATGTATGTATGTAATGTATGTATGTATGTGTGTAATGCATGTATGTAACGTACTGTAATGTACTGTAATGTAATGTAATGTAATGTAATGCAATGTAATGTAGTGTTATGTTATGTTATGTTATATTATGTATGTATGTGTGTGTGCACATGTTTGTACATACACATGTATACGTGTAGAAGTATATAAGCATATATATATATATGTACAATACACGTGATGGCCCACGCCGCGTGGCGAATTTTTCCTCCTTCAGCATCTATGCAGGCGCTGCAGGTGGCGCTAGACGGCCCTCGTGAAAGAGAGAAACGTGAAAGGTCGTGCCGATGCCCCTCGATTGCAGCAAGCGACCTTCTTCAGGGCTCCTTAAAAGAGACATTTTGCAACCATTTGAAACATGGCTTTTCCCAGCAAAATAGAGGGACACCACCATTTACCAGGCAATGTTTAGGTGTATAATCTAAGGATCCCTGTTCTTCGTTGATGGTTCAGCTGTCTTCGTTGATGGCGCTTTGCTGAATGTAGAAAAGTGCAAAGCAAGCCTGAAGCTCAAGACACATCCGCCGTGGTTCCTTTGCTTGCCACTTTGGAATTTAGGCCATTGGCACGAGCCAAGACGACAGCATGAAGCATATCATTGGGAAACCAGCTATGGTGAGCCAGGAGGAGCATGATCTAACTTAGCAACAGCGCTTTCGAGCCATGGCCGACCCCTTGCACATCATATCAGTGCCATTGTGGCATCACTGGACTGATGTACTTGGATTTGCCTCTACACAGCAGGAAGGCTCCAGTTGGCACAGCTGGCCCCACATGTGGTCGGTCAAAAACTGGGACAATGGAATGCGGCGTCCTGCCAAAGTGGTCGCATATCACGTATGGCAGTACGGAACAACTCGGTGCCAGCTGACTGTTTGCATGGTTTGCAGAGTGGCTGTGGAAAGCCCTGGTTTCTCACGCCACGTTTCCTCAAATCAGCACTACAACGTATTTTCTGGCCGGTGTCCGTCGGCAAAGCTTAGCATGGATGAGCTGCGCGAACAACTTTGGCAGACTTTTTCTTGCGAGCAGAACTGCAAGAGATACGAGGTACGATTCAATCATGCTGATGGGCGTGTTCAAACGCGACTCATCGGCCTGCACAATGCTGGACATTCCCAGGCACCTGTAGCTCCACCAATGTCAACAGGGCAGGTATTTTTGAACATGCAGCCGCCTGAAACGCGCGCAACTGAGCCTGAAGCACGTGGATTTGCGCCTGAAGCCCATTCAGTCGGAAATCCTCTGGACCTCATTTCCGTGCCATCCTGGCTGGAGTGGACCGATGTCCTCGGATTTGCATCTAGACAGCAGGAAGGATCAAGTTGGCAAAGCTGGCCCCACATGTGGTCGGTCAAGGACTGGGAAAATGGAATGCAGCGTCCTTCCAAACTTGTTGCGTATCATGTATGGCATTACGGAACAACTTGCTGCCAGCTGAACAGTTGCATGGTTTGCGGAGTGGCTTTGGAAAGCCCTGGATTCTCACGTCACGTTTCCTCAAACCTGCACTACAATGTTTTTTCTGGCCTGTGTCCTCCGTCGGCACAATCTAGCATAGATGCGCTGCGCGAACAACTTTGGCAGACTTTTTCTTGCGAGCAGAACTGCAAGAGATACGAGGTACGATTCAATCATGCTGATGGGCGTGTTCAAACGCGACTCATCGGCCTGCACAATGCTGGACATTCCCAGGCACCTGTAGCTCCACCAATGTCAACAGGGCAGGTATTTTTGAACATGCAGCCGCCTGAAACGCGCGCAACTGAGCCTGAAGCACGTGGATTTGCGCCTGAAGCCCATTCAGTCGGAAATCCTCTGGACCTCATTTCCGTGCCATCCTGGCTGGAGTGGACCGATGTCCTCGGATTTGCATCTACACAGCAGGAAGGCTCCAGTTGGCACAGCTGGCCCCACATGTGGTCGGTCAAAAACTGGGACAATGGAATGCGGCGTCCTGCCAAAGTGGTCGCATATCACGTATGGCAGCACGGAGCAACTCGGTGCCAGCTGACTGTTTGCATGGTTTGCAGAGTGGCTGTCGAAAGCCCTGGTTTCTCACGCCATGTTTCCTCAAATAAGCACTACAACGTATTTTCTGGCCGGTGTCCGTCGGCAAAGCTTAGCATGGATGAGCTGCGCGAACAACTTTGGCAGACTTTTTCTTGCGAGCAGAACTGCAAGAGATACGAGGTACGATTCAATCATGCTGATGGGCGTGTTCAAACGCGACTCATCGGCCTGCACAATGCTGGACATTTCCAGGCACCTGTAGCTCCACCAATGTCAGCAGGGCACAGAATTTCGCAAGCCCGTCCGCCTGAAGCACGCGCAGCGCCTGAAGCATGTGCGGCAAAACATAGTTTCCTGTCTGCTTTGAATGTGCAGAGTTTTGCCTCACAATGCTCACGAGATTTGGACCACGTGGCACTTGAACCGCAAAATGATGACGAGTCCTGGTCCACAACTGCAGCTCCGGGATGCGACCTGGACACTGATGGCCTTTGGCACGTCTAGTCCTTCAAAAGAGCCGCGAGGCAGAAGGCGGCCGTGGCCAGGGCTGGGGTGTTTGGCTTGTTCTGCAAGGTGGAGATGCAAGGGACTTGTTGGTCGATAGAGTTGCATCTGCCAGCGGTGAAAAAGGTGGCAACACAACATGCGGCCACCGGGTCGGTTCAGCTGCGATCGGTACACGTGTGCATTTTCAGCTGTCAGTCTGGGTTCCTTGGCAGACTCCCCAAGGGTGGTTTGTCCAACTCCAAATCAGAAGGGCACGATGTAGCAACCCAGTTTGGCAAGGAATCAAGGACAGTTTGTGTTTAAAGAACCGCGAAAATGCCAACGAAATGCCAACGAGGCCGGGACATGTTCCGGGGGGTTGCCGCTGCTACAGCTCATCTTGCCATTTCTTCCAATCCCCGCCGAGGAAGGAGCCGAGGATGAGCCGACTAGATGGCGCGAAGGACGGAGCTGCACACCTTTGGGTGCTCCAAGGGAAAACACCCCCCCCCCCCCAAAAAGAAAAGAACAAACATGGCGTCCCCGCCAAGTTTTTTTTTTGCAGATTCGGCGTGAAGCTTTTTTTTGCGCGATTTGCTTGAGATAAAACGACAGAAGCTTCAGTGTTGGACTTGCAACGTTGCTCTTCGACACATTGGGTTTGCTTCCAGCCTTATGCTCTCTTTGCATGAATTGTGTTTGCGGCCGCGCCTTAGAGGGGTGCCCTCAAACCGGGTGGTGTTTTGCTTCTGATTCCCTTCAAGCCAGCTTCAAGAAGGGCAACCTCAAAGTCACAGACCCAAGTCAAATTCTGCTATGTTTGCTGGTAGCCAGAGGAAGTCTGTGTCCCGCCGATACCTTTTGTGGTCTGTTTTTGGTACTTGGATCAATAGGGAAGCCTCAAACGTGGCTTGCTTCTTGGTTGCCCTCTGAAAAGAACACATACCTCTTTTCTTGATTCCTGTGATTTCCTAGTGACCTTGGCGAAGTGCTTCCTAGCATCCTGCCACTCCCCATAGATGCGATCATCTTGCTGCCGTTGGTTTTTGGAAGCGGGAACTAAATACCACGAAGAGCTTGCTTTTGCCAGAAGGCTCGTGCACTATGCATTTGCCGGGACTTGGGCTCGGTTCAATTGCCCATGACTACAGTTTGGGTAGACAGCTTGCCTTTTAAGCAACTTGGTGCAGGTGGCTTACTTGCGAGGGCGCAGCTGCCCCTGGGCTGCATGATTGTGTCAAAGTTTTCCAGTGACAAGTCTCGAGTCTTTTCCATTGGGCGGCATTCTCACGACCACTGCATGAGTCAACTGCTGCTTTGTGCGCAGGGAACTGTCGGCATGTCCGATCAGCTTTCTTTTTTTGGTAGTAATAATTATTGATCGGCAATAGTCACATTCGCTTGATTTGGAAAAGACCAGTCCCTCTTAGCTTGATCAGAAGGAACCCTCCCCTCTTACTGATGTTGTTGCAAGTAGCCTGCATGGTTTGCAAGTAGCCATGTACTGTTAGCTTGGCGGAACCTGGCCAATAATTTTCTTTCTAGGGATCCCAAGCATGACTGGTTGATGTCAGCCTGGAACAGACGGAGATTGGTAAGATAAGGACGGCCGGTCAGCCACGAGCTCTGGGCGTCAGTGAGTGGCAAGGGATTTGCGTACAGTACTCACTCTCAGTTCAGAGCTGAAAGGCAATGCCACAAGATCTGACTGAGATCCAGCCAGGATCCAGCTAGGACTGCAAGGCTTACAGACCCGGTGCCATGCATCCCCTGCGGCTCAGTGAGTAGCTCGGGCACCGCCAAAACCGCGTCGTGGCCACTGCACCATGATAGCCCTGCGCACTTGAAGAGCTTTGCCAGGCTGCTGCAGCTTCATCGTCAGTCGACAGCGTGGACAAGGCTCTTGCCACACGAGACATATACATCTGGGTGTGTCTTTCTAGGAGATCCCCCCCCGAAAACAAATAAATAAATATATATATATATATGTATATGTATATGTATATATATATATCTGTGGTTTTCCTTTTGCCTCTTCAAAACCAGGGAAACCACCGTTGGCAAGAGGCCAAGGGGTTACTCGTTGCCCTGGCTCGCGGGCCTCTCTCTTGTGCTTCTTCTTTTTGTTTGCGAAGCTTGTGAAGTGTTTGGCACATGGGACACCCAACAGACACGTCTGGAGTGTGACAGGTATGCATAGATGACAGTGACTGACTGAGTCAGCCTTGCAAAGTCAGATAAGAATTCTCCTGGCACGCTGAAGGCATTGTGCCTCGGTGGATTTTTGTTTATGGGCTGACAGCCGTTGCCGCGTGTCACCGACGTGCGTCCGTCACCCAGGTGGAGGGACGTACTGTGTGTTTGTTTCTTTGGTCAGCCTGGACCGTCACCTGCCATCTTTACCACGCCGCGTGTGCGCAGGACGCGAAGCTGGCGTGCCGATTTTTTGAGGGTACACTTTTCGGGCTTGGTTTATAGAGAAACCACAAGGAACACCACCATTTGGGGGGCCACTAATTCCCCACAAGGCAGCAACAGTTTAACTTCGGTAGGGGCGTCTATGACCAAGCAAGTTATGATATGCCAGATGCGCAGTGATGAGCAGACATTCGTCCTTGTAAGGGCGGCCTTGGCTGTACGTGTCAAGAGCTGCCGGGGGAATCAGGTAGAGTGCGATGAACTTGAGCAGTTTAGGCCGTGTCCTGCAGCGGCCTGGCAGAAAGCCGATGCGTTGTGATGTTTTGACTTTCTGTTTTGCTTCTCGATCTGGCTTTCCGACAGGCGCAGTCGTTGTGATCCTCCGGCCGGACATTTTCTCGGCTCACCCAGTGAAACTCACAATCCTGGCCCGAGGCTTCGATTTCCCACGCTGACTTTGAAATTGACTTCAAAAAGGTGGGCCAGTGAGCAGAGCAGTTGCCGAAGTTCTTGTGCACGATTGCCTGGCAGCTACATTAGGATCAAGCCATGGAAAACAAGCGTCAGCAAAGCCTCTCATGAGCTAGCAGAACTTAGAGAGACAGAGAGAGCGGTCTCAAGGACCTCTGATTGAAATTTCGTGCAACGACGGAACATTTTCACTGGGCCTCTTAATTAAGGCCATGCTGGCAGCACCTCGGCATTTTGTTTGCTCATTTTTTCTGCGTAAGCATCGGACAGTGCCAGCCTCAGGTGCGGCATCCGACGCTTTTTGAGCTGGACAAGGCGCAGTGGCGACGTGGGTGTGGATGAAAATAGCTCGGCCCCGCCCCCCAAAAAAAGAATTCCATGGGCTCGCGTTTTTTTTCTTCTCCCCCTTTGATGTCCCCTTTTCCCGAAGGGCCGCCAACGGAGCAATCCCCAGGTCATTGAGGCCTGCAGCACCAAGCGGCGGCAACCTGCCGGGGGCCCCATGGGGTGCCTAGAATCCAATCGCCACGAGAGCGGGTTGATATCCGGTCCCTTAGCTTTTGAGATCCTGTTCGTTGGCTCGAGTGGTTGGGTTTCAAGTAAAAAAACCCACAAATGAGTCACTTTGAGCGCATCTGAAAACCTGCCGGGCTCAGGTTTGCATCATGACAAAGCGCCCAGCTTAGCCTTCCTCAAGTCGCTGCGATCCGGCCGCTCCATGCGATCAGTTCAGGAGGGATTCTCGAGTTTTGGAAGGGCTAGTGGAGCTGAAGCCTTGGCCCCTGAGGTGAGCTGAAGCCTTGTTTTTCTTTCTGATAGAAAGTCAGAAAGTCAGAGAGAGAGAGAGAGAGCTCGGGAGGGTGAGGCGCAAGGAGCGGCTTGCCTCAGGTCAGCCCGTTTTCCCCGCAGCAGGTCTGGTCGCGTCTTGTGTCCACGCACGCGGGCGCGCGCGTTTGGGGGTTTGCTCCGGCAGGTCCCAGGTGGATCTCGCTCCCGGCCACTACCGTATGGACTGCGCCCGCCTTTCGAGCGCCCAGACCGGTTTTTGGGGAGGCTGTGGTGCTGGTGGTTGGCTGGTGGTTGGCTGGTGGTTGGCTGGTGGTTGGCTGGTGGTTGGCTGGTGGTTGGTTTTTGTGGTTCTGTGTGCAACGCGTTTTGCGGAAAGTATTTGGACTGGTGGCTTTATCCGAAAGTGGCCGCTGGGTGTGGTGCCTGGTTTTTGAAATCTTCGTTTCATTGAATGCTTTGCAGGATGTGGGGTTGCCTGTGAATAAGCAGATCGAGGCGGGACGTTTGAATTGCTCCAGCACCCGTTGTTGTAATTGCAAGATTAACGTCCAGTCCTCGTTGCATTTTTGATAGGACATGCTTTGCCGCTCACTAAAAGTAGATGCCGCGGCTTTTAAACACGACCTTCGAGAGCGCTCGGCTGCATCAACAGTCATAACATAGCGAATTACGAAAATCCACTTCTTTTCGCGGCCGACATGACTAAAGTGGTCGACACCCCCAGTATCACCAGTGTTTCAGTAGAGGAAATAATTTCTCCTTTACAAGACGATGGTCTGTCGGCTAGAGTAGTCGACGCTCTCAGCATTGCCTACTGTTTCAGTAAAGGACACTTCCTGCTTCTGAGAAGTATATGTCGCTCGGCGGCAGCAGAAATCATTTCATAGCTGATTTTGTTTCGAGACCGACATGAGTCGTGCACTTCGGATGGTCTTCGTTGGCTAAAGTGGCCGACAGCCCCAGCATCACCAGTGTTTTAGTTAGGACATTATTTTAAACTCGATGTCTTGACACCAGTGGTCAGCATCACCAGGGGATGTTTTTACGCTGGTGCCTTCGGAAAAAGAATGAAGCTTGCCTCGGCTAGAGAAGGAGATGGCAGGCTCCTGTCGAGGAGGGTTTTGATAGTCACCAGGGCCTTAACATCCCTTTTGAAATCGCGCCTAGCATCACCAATGCATCAGCAGGAAAGCTTGTCCGCAACCCGAGGAACATCCGCTCATGTAAAGGGTGGTCTGAAGCTCAGTCGCCCCCGACGACTTCCAAATTCATTACGTGGCGTGTCGCGAAACTGCACTTTCCCAGGCCGACATGAGTCGGTGTGCTTCGGAAAAGCCACAAAGCGTGCGTGATGAATCCTGCCAAGCGTTGCCTACAGAGATCGGCGCTCCAGCGTCACCAGTGGTTGAGTAAAAGGAAGGGCTTTCCTGCGGGCTGCCGAAGAACCTGAGCATCACCAGCGCTTCAGTAAAGGGAATGCTGTTCCGCGTCGGAGACCTCGGCAAGAGAGAAACTGAAACTTGCTCTGACTGGAGAAGCCAACAACAGGACACAAGATGCGCCAAGCCCAAGAAGATTCTGTTGAGACACAAAGCTGTTTCCCTTCGATTCTCACTTTTCAACATGACAATGTGCAACCAACATCTCTAACCCGTAAAACCCGTGCAACAACAAACGTCTTACCCCAAAAAACTGGGTATCAGGGGGCGAGGGGGGGTAGTGTGCTCACCGTTCTGTCTCTAAAATAGGAGGTTTTGCGTAGTTGGTGTGTAGTAAGGTAGGTGGGGGTGGATGGCCACTAGTTGGAAAGCGTCATATCTACTCTGCACTTCTCTTTTTTCCAAATGACTGAAATCACTGCAACATACAGTGTTGTTGATGATTTGTTACCTTCTCTAGGTAGCAGGTGCTTCGTCTTTTGAGGATTGAAAGGCAATAAGTCCAAAACGGGTTATGTGTGGAGCTTCAAGCATGGCTTTGTTTGAAAACTTTGGTGTTTACACTGGTTTTGAGTACACATAGCAAAGCAACACATTCTGTTTTTGGCAGCTTGAGCCCAGTAAAAATGCCAGTCAGGAACCTGAGGCCATCGGTAAGGGGGGGGGCTGATGACCGTTCCAATCATTTGGCCATACGTGGCACACCAAGCAACACCACGAAAAACCATGTCCAGTTGATTCTCAAATGGTTGCCATACCAAGTATGTTGACCCAACCTCATTTGAGCGCGTTTGGTGAAATCCAGCCTTCATGGTTGTGTGAACCAACCTTTCTGAAATGCCAAACTTTCCCCCGCTCTGAAACCTGCACAAGCCCAAAAAACAGAACCTGAAGAAGATGAAAGCTCTGAAACTTTCACAGGCCAGAAAATCCGGACCAACAAGGTCCATAGTGCAAACAAAAGAATAACGACTAGCAATGCAAAACCTTGTCATTAGTAGATTCTATTTAACATTCCAATTGACATTTAATTAAAACCATGTTTGCAAGGGAGCTCATTTTCAAGCCCTAGTGTAAGATCTAAGTTCTGGTGGAATCGGTGTCGTCATGAAAACAAATACCATATTGTTTGAGCCACATTTAATCTAAATACATTTGGGAATGAATTCCTATTTGAGATTATGTTCAATTGAATTATTGCCTTTACCTCCGATTTGGAAAGGAATTCCTATTTGAATTCCAACATAATATAGAATTTCAGGTGAGCTATGTCCTTATAAATTCTAATCAAAATGTCAGTTCAATTTGAAGTAACATTTGCAAATAAACTCGCAATTGATATTTCGGAGGTTCAGATATTCAGATTCTACATTTCAGGTGCTCCAAATAAAGATGTGTTCACCTGGATCGAAGATTTGAATATCCCAAACAAAAAAAATCCATTTGCCATACAGCCAGCCAACACAGGGTTTATAAACCCAACACTGGACCCCCCCCCCCCTCCCCCTAAGAGTTGCCACGCAGGCCCCCCCCTCCCCACAAGAGTCCGCCTAAACTCCACTGAATCTTGTTGATCTGTCTATACTCATCTAATATTATTTGCAGTCCCCATCCTGATTTCAGGCGTCCTTGCAAGATGTACATGTATCATCACAGATATCGAACACATGTTCTCATCTTTAGCATCAACTCCAGGTTTTCCTCAAAAAAGGCTTTCTATGCCAAAAAGCCTGCAACACGTACTGGTTTCAGCAGGAAAACCTTGGTATTGGAGGGGGGTCCTGTATCTGTTTATATATAAAAATAGAAGCCCTTGCCCAAGGGACCGGTCCCTTTCGGGGCAACGTTCACCGGCGAGCGAAGCGGGCAGACTGTGAGGTCTTGGCCTCCCGCCTGACACGCGCCCCTTGGAAGAGAGGCCTTGGACGAATCGCCGAATGGTTACCCTGCCACCGACTAACATGGAAGTGCACAGACCCCTGTAAGAAGATTACTTTCCTCTTGGAAAGGGGTTTTGTGCACTTCCATGTTAGTTGGTGGGAGGGTAGTAACCCTGGTAGAAAACTTTCCACCACGCCTTTGGTGGGGGACAAACAGGGTTACTATCCACGTAGCGACTCCTCCCAGACCATCTAAGTATGTCTCTGCCCAAAAACCGAAGACGCTTACGGGCTGAACCGCCACTCACATTTTAAGCGTTCGGTTGGGTCAGAAGCTGGTCTGTGAACATTTGGGGCGAGAAGGGCGACCTCTTGAACAAATAATTCTGTTGGATGGCTCAAATGGGAGCTTCCTTGAAAAGGGGGGGAATGCATGTATAGGAGTCGCCTGCTGAGGAAATATCCAAATAGACCTCAAGATCATTCCCACAAGCATGAAGCTGTTGATGAAACACGCGGAATGCAACAGGCATGGCAGCGAGACCTTTTTCTTGTCCTTTTGCCCAAGGCAAGATCTGCTCCGAGATTTTCCTTCAGCAAAGAGAAGCGCGTAGACAAGGCGATGGCAAGATGCTTGACATTGTCCAAGTTGTGGCCTTTTAGCAATTGTAGTCTGTTTTTCGGGGGAACCTATGTTGGGTTGATTTAAAGGGAAGCCAAAAGGAACCACCCAAAATGGGGAGGTTCCACTGTTTGACACGCACCCTGCCATGCAACGAGTTCAGAACGTTCCTGAGTTCGTGGCAGGAGGATTGTCTGAAAGGCTTGTCACCGACTTACCAGAAGCAGCCAAATGCCGGCGACTCAAGCTCTACACTGTCACCTCAGCAGCTAACTCATTCCGAGGAGCTTGGGCCTGGTCAGTACAAGATGCAGCTGTCTCAGCTCCACATGCGGATACTCAGATTTTCTCTTCGATGTGCACTTGGCGCTTAAAACACTGGGGGATCCACCCCCACCCCCCCCCCCGCCTGCACAGGCACCACAGCCCCCAATGATGGTTCACCCCAATTGGCTTCTTTTCCAGAGGATGGCCTGCAAGACACGGCGGATATTTTTTCCCAAAAACCGCCCCATTGGGTTCCGGTACAGTCGGAGAGCTGAGAGGATGAAGCTGAGTATGGGCTGCAGTTCCCTCATCAAGGCCAGGGCCTGAGGGCCAGCTTGGTGGGTTTTAAGCCATCCGGTTCCTGATCCGACTTCAACCCTGGTTCCTTAGCTTCTTTTTGAAAGCTTTCTAAAAGTTAGTCGCTTTTAGCAGGGGATCTGAGGATAGCCCAACAATAATTTGCATCGGGTTTCTTTGAACAGGCTACGGCACCTTCCTTCTCCTTTTGAGCGTGCTGGGAAAGGCAAGAGGGCTGGTCATGCGGCGCTGGTCCGCGCGTTCCCTTGGCTAGCCGAAGTCGTGACCGGGAGGGCTTTGCTCTGCCCGCGCGACACAGATTCTTTGGACGGGACATGCCAAGTGCGCCCCCCCCAAACTGGACTGCTGTTGCCTGTCATGCATTCGATTGTCTTCGCGGGGGCATGTCTCTGTGGAAAGGTTCAGCCAACTTTTTGCATGCACGTCGATAGTAGTTTCTATGCTGAAGAGGGCGAAGTGCAGTTGTTCCAAAGGAACTTTGCGCTCTCTCTTTATGCAGATAGGCAGGCTGCATCTTTCGAGACATCTTCCAAGGTGCTCAGAGCTGCACACCCGCCGACACGTAGAAGTTGTGTGCGAAGGCCGCAACTGTCCGATCTCCATAGACTCGTGTGACATGAATCTGCCAGATCTTCTGGCCGATGTCCTGGAAAAGTTGCAATCACAGGCACTTGGGCTTGGGGTTAAGCATTGAGTTCCTACGTTCATTGTCTTTGAGAGCATTTTTACAGGGCCAAGGCTTGACATGTGCACACATGGATCAATTTGAAGATGCCCCGGTGGGCGCAAGGTGATGGTCGGGCTTCGGTTTGCGCGTCACTTCCCCAACCGCTTTGGCCGGGGTGCGGCAGCTGCGCAGCGAGGTGCCATGAGTCTGCGGCAGCCGAGAGAGCCGAAGAGCTGAGCCGAGACTTTGACACGGCCGAAGTTCCGCAAGCGGACCGCCCGAAAGAGGACGTGGTGACGTGGTGCGGGAGGGCACGGAGACCTCCGAAGCGGCACAAGCCCATCGCGGCTGGCGTTGGGACAACTGCAACGCCTGGTATTGGAGGGCGAGATGGGTGCGACAAGCGGCAGTGTGTTTTGGACTTTCAATTCTGTTGGCACCATGCCACTTGAAGTCATTTCTGCGAGGGCCCGGTTCATACAGATCAAGCCCTTTTGAGCGCCCCGCAGATGCACGTCCAAGGCCGAATGGCAAAACACACAACAGCAAGAGAGATGCTTGGTGGAATGCTACTCTACGCCGTCATCTTATTTGGATTGGACATCCCGCCCAAGATGCAGAAAGATCCTGGATTTCTGCAGAAAGATCTCGTGTCCATGGGTGTCCTTTTTGGGTGACTTTGGTTAATAATAGATGGCACTGGTTTAGATGGGGTTTATTTCATTCACCAGGGCCATCTATTTTTCCCAAAGGCCACCTATGTTCGTGTCACATTGAACCTTCCCTTGATTCCTTGGGCCAGTCCCTGTTGCCCCCGCCGCCGGCCAGCCCTCCCCCCACTTGTGTGGCGTTCCACTCAAAAACAACATCCGCCGCGAAAGGACCCCACATTTGAGCTGAACATCTGCAATCATTAGTATTTGTGTCTCGTCACTGTTCCAAACTTTTATCGACCCAGATTCTCAGATGGGATCAGCAGCTTTGCGCAGCAGAATATCAAGCTTCCAGTCATAGCTTCGAAGCTTGCTGTAAGGTTTTGCAGAACCGGTGACAAGAACAAACACATCTGCCTGCCAGAAGTGTTTGTTTCCCAGGTTCTCCGGAGCTAGCCAATCACGCACACACACACACACACTCACACACGCACTCGCACACGGGCACGCACACACACACACAAACAAAGATACGCTCTCAGATTAGCTGGACGCAATGTGACAATGTGCGCGCCGAGCACCGGCAATGAGGCTGTGATCAAAGATATGGGTCATGCGGCTCTTTTTGTTGGTATCCCCCACCCGCTTTTGGGGTGTGCCTTACAGAGAGCCAAAAGAAAGGCGCCATCTTGGCGGGGTTCAACAAAAGACAAAGCCATCTTGGTATGTTCTTTTCGTTGTTTTTTCTTTTTCGAGCAACTCCCTCATGGATGGCATGCAGCTTTGGCGTTTCGCTGGAGCACAGGCAAGACGGCCGCGGGGCTGTGTGCGCTGCTCACCCCAGCTTTCCGGTCATTGCCGTCGGCACAGGCCTGGACTGTTGGGTGTGGGTCAAAGTTAAACCAGGACTCGGGCAGTAGGTTTTGGCGTCCATGTTGCCACTTTCCCAGCGAGCAAGCCATTTCGGGGTTACCCTATTTTTGACCCACCGCCAGATGGTTTGAGACAGCAACTGGCGGAGTTCAGCGGACTTGAGGGCAGTCGGCTATGGTCTTTTTTCATCGATTCGAAGTGGGCCCATGTTTGCACGCGTGGCTGCAACATGGGCCGTGTGAATTTGGGTCTCCTTTGGGAAGTTCCCAAAAGGGAACCTTCCATCAAAAGACATCTATTTGGGCGCTGATCAATATTCTGCCCCCCAAATGACCGTGGGAGCTTCTTACATTTAGTAGGAAGTATCATCTTTTGAGCGGTTTCCCGTAATGGTCATCCCGGACCTTTTGATCAACCTCCATTTGGCATCTCTCAGAGACATGGGTCAGACAATTCCTGGGTTATGTGTTCGGTGAAACATGTAGATGGTCCGGATGGTCCATTTTGGGATAAGATCAGGTTCCCCTGCCCATTCAGACAGCATGTGTTGACTGTGGCTCATGTGGCTATGAACTCTACTGAAGGTCTTGTTCTCGCCATTTCTACCGTTTTTAGGGTGCGAAGGATACATTTGGGCCATTCAAACCACCTTGTCTAGCTGAACTTCAGATCCATTGCACGTCTTTTCTTCCAAACCAAGCATGACGCTTGCTCGATTTTTCCTTTCTCCATGCAAGAACCGGGACCTCCGGCTTCAGACCTTCCCGTCCGCTTGGACCCCCAGCCGCTGCCGGCGGACCCGTGACTCGGACCCGTAACTCGGCCCCGGGCTTCGGCGAGGCGCGGGCCTGGGCTTCTTCGACCAGAGCCTCCGGCTGCTGCAGCGGCTCGAGCTCCAGGTCCGGGATCTCGCGCCTCGGAGGGACCCGAGCGAGACCCGTGGAGGGTTCGGGTTCCCAGCCCTGCGGTTCCTGAAGGTGCGTTTTTTGGAGTCCTTTTGTAGTTGGTTTAGTGAAAATCAGTGGTTGTTAGTTGGTTTAAGTCATTTTGTAGTTGGTTTAGTGAAAATCAGTGGTTGTTAGTTGGTTTAAGTCATTTTGTAGTTGGTTTAGTGAAAATCAGTGGTTGTTAGTTGGTCTAGTGTCATGGGGCTTGCCGTTGTAGGTGGCTTTTAGTTGGTTTAGTGGGGGTTTCCGTTGGTTTTGAGTGGTTTTCAGTCGGTTTAGTGGGGAGGGGTTTCCGTTGGGTCCGTCGGTTTTGAGTTGTTTTGAGTTGGTTTAGTGGGGGTTTCACAAGTGAAGCTTTTAGCCGGGGATCTAAGGACAGCCCGAACATGGTGAGTGTTTGTTGGCTTCCCTTTAAACAACACGCAACAGGCGTCCATATGCTTTGGTTTTCTCGAAGTTTGGGTTGGCTTCCATGGGGTTTTCCTTTGAATACCAAACAGGCGTGCATCATATGTTTCTCAAAATCGTCCCCTGACATGGTTAAAAGTGTTGATTTTCCATTGGGTTCCCCTTTGAGTGTCGGGCAAAAGGCGTGCATCGTATGTTTTCGTTTCTCAAAATAGTCACTTAAAGTTGTTAAAATGGTGGGTTTCCATTGGGTTCCCCTTTGAATGCCGAGCGAAAGGCGTCCATCTATTTTTTCTCGAAATAGTCCTCTGAAAAGGAAAACAATGGTAGGTTTCCACAAAATTCCCCTTTGAATACCAAGCAGTAGGCGCCCATCATATTGGTGTTTTTGCGAAACAATCCTCTGATGCATGGGTTATTTGCCCTTACCAAGCAAAGGGCGTCCTCCTCTGGGTGCTTTTTCGAATAGTCCCTTGAAATTGTTAAGGTGGGCTGGTTTCCACTAGACTGCCAAGTCAATACCAAGCAAAAGGCGTCCATCATATGGGTGTTTCTCGAAATAGTCCCCCGAAATCATGGACATGCTTGTTTTCCGTTGGGTTCCCCTTTATATCAAAGCCAATCAAAAGGCGTCCATGATATGTATGTTTTTCGAGATAGTCCCCTGAAATTGTTAAAATGGTGGGTTTCCATTGGGTTCCCCTTTGAATGCCGAGCGAAAGGCGTCCATCTATTTTTTCTCGAAATAGTCCTCTGAAATGATTACAATGGTAGGTTTCCACAAAATTCCCCTTTGAATACCAAGCAGTAGGCGCCCATCATATGGGTGTTTTTGCGAAACAATCCTCTGATGCATGGGTTATTTGCCCTTACCAAGCAAAGGGCGTCCTCCTCTGGGTGCTTTTTCGAATAGTCCCTTGAAATTGTTAAGGTGGGCTGGTTTCCACTAGACTGCCAAGTCAATACCAAGCAAAAGGCGTCCATCATATGGGTGTTTCTCGAAATAGTCCCCCGAAATCATGGACATGCTTGTTTTCCGTTGGGTTCCCCTTTATATCAAAGCCAATCAAAAGGCGTCCATGATATGTATGTTTTTCGAGATAGTCCCCTGAAATTGTTGAAATGGTGGGTTTTCATTGGGCTCGCCTTAAAACACCAAGCAAGGTGTCCCATCATATTCCCCTTTGAATACCAAGCGTCCATAATTATATGAGTGCTTCTCGAAATAGGACTTGGTCCATTTCCCAAAAGGGGGGGCTGTTGGGTTTTGCCTTTAAATACCAAAAGCGGGTCTACTATTTGGGAGAAACAGTGGGAAGCAGCGGCTTGTTCATGGACACTTTCTGAGAACGATGAACATGTTTACCATCATATACTTAGTAACTTGTAGCAAGGGAGGACATGGGCTCGTGTGCACCAAAATCCCATGTTACAGTGCACAATAGATATTGACCATGCCTCAGATGGGGTTGTCGGCTTCCGTGCCGTGTTTCACCCCCCCACACGGAAAGGCTTCTTTTGTATTTTGGTGTCCCTTCAAATTCCCCCCCCCCCCCCAAACGTAGAACAGGGGGCACCAACTCAAACAGAGACATGCTCAGATGAATTTGCGTCCAAGCGAAGACACTTACCCTCCCACCAATGAACCATGGAACCCGACAGGGACCCGGTCCCTTTAAAAGGAACACGGTCTTCTTCCGGACCCCAAAACATCAGGCTCCATGTCAATTTGTAGGAGGATATTTTCTTGCTGGCGCGATAGGCAGGCAATGAGGGAATGACCGCTATGAACTATCCCTTGTGGTTTCCTTTAAAGGGAGTTTTTTGGGTTCATTCCCAAATTCCCCACCCGCAAGTTTTCAGGGGTTTCCTGAAACAAATCCCCCAACTCTCCGATGCGAGAAAATCCTCGCTGGCGCGAGCGCTCGAACGAGTCGAGGCCTGGCACCCTCAGAGCTTGGCACTGGCGGTGCTGGAGGGGCAGCAGGTGCGGATCTTCGCCTCGGACAGGCCGCGGATTTTTTTCCCCCAAAAAAGGGGGGGGGGGGGGTTGGGGGGGGGATGGGGGTGGGGTCCAAAAGGGGGGGGGTCTTCTTCTGGTCTTTCTGGTCAAAATTGTCGGAGTTCGCAATTTTTTGTCTTTTGGGGGGAGGGGTTCTTCCGCCTCTTGCTGGGGTATGGTCCGCTTTTTTCTAACCGCGAAAGGCAAGGGGTGTTGGGCGCTCAAAGGACAGTTCGTTCAGAAAAAGGTGCGGAAACAAGTTATTTGGATTCTGTAGCAGTTCGGGGAGAGAGAGAGCGAGAGAGACGCAGAGAGAGATGGCGAGCGAGCGAGCGAGAGAGAGAGAGAGAGAGAGACGGCGAGCGAGAGAGAGCTTGTGCCTGTTTTGCGGCCGGACACCGAAGATAATTTCTTATTTTTGGAAGGTTCCCTATTCTGAGACGAACCCATACTGGCTTCTGCGGAGAAAAAAAAAGCAAAGCACTTTGACAACAGGGCGGCAACCCCCCTGCCACCCAAGTTGAAAGTTGGAGTTGACATTGTTCACGAAGCCCGCGGAAACGCGCCCCATTCTTTTTTCACGGCGTTTGGCAACATAGAAGTTCGGGGGCTGGGGCGTGCGTGGGGACGATACTTGGGCGAGAGGGGCGTGAAACTTCGCAGACCCGGGAAGGAGGTTTGGCAAACGACGCCTGGGGAGAACTCAACGCGCGCGGGTCTTTCTTGACTTTGGACAATTTCTGCGTCTAAGCGCGCCTTGGACCCGCCCGTGCCCAATTCACATGGCGCCCCATCTTCCGGCGCTGCCGAAGCCCCGGGCGAACGCCCAAGTCCTCTGGGAGTGAAATACACCCTCTCCTTCTCTCTGACTGCAAAGGAACGTAATCCTCGCCTTGGCATGTGACACACATGCAACGCACATGCAACACACACGCAACACGAGCACACATTGTAGCAATTTTTGGCATGCCCTGGCAATTTCAAGGTCAGAAGTTCAGTGCATTCTGATGTGCGCGAGTTTTGCCTTGGAACATGCAAGGAATTCCGTCGCGTTGCGTGTGTGGCGCGTCTGTGTCACTGTGTTGCACGTCAGTCTTCCCAAATCCAACTTTGGCAACACCCTTGCC